CACTTCTCTGTACTTCCGGCTCCACTTTCCTGTTTCCTGGTCACAGGGCTCTGTCTCAGGCTGCATGCTGGGACCAGGTTACAAGTCACCTGAGGCCCTGTGCTAGGAATTATCTCTTGCCACTGGACATCCTTGCTGGCCTCTTCCTTATTCCCCTGAGTTGAAGGCATTGAAAGATTGACCACTACTTTTCCCACATGTCCTTTCTGCTGGGCTTAGGCTTTACCAAAGAGAACAAGTACAGGAGAGTCACGGAGCAGGAGGAGGAGAGGCCATTCCCCCTGCAGTGAGGTGGCTGATGGTGGGTTCTGGTTTCTGTGGCAGCAGGTGGAAGCTGGGGTGGTGTGGCCATGCACAATGTCCAAGCCTTCAAGCTTTTCTACATTTAAATTCCTACACTAAATCTCTTTCTATACAAAATACCTGAAGTGTTTCCACTTTCTGCACTGAACCCTCTTCTTCCTTACCAGGTCATCTTTCCTTCTGGAAAGCTGGTCTCTCTTGCACACAGGGCTGTGAATTAAGAGTGTGCAGAAGGCGAGTTCTGCATTATGTCTATCTTCCCAGACGAAAGGAGATACATAGGAAGCATTCTACTCCCCGCCAGTGGATGGGCTTCTGTGTGAACGTGATGTCTGGGGCAGTGGCAGCCATTTTGCCATCATGAGACACTAAGCTGACAGACAAAAGTCATCACGCTGAGAACAGCAAAGGGGACAGACTGAAAGGATGACGTGGGTCTGTGTTGACATTGTTGAAGCACTAAATTCAACTAGAAGCTGTCTATTTTTAGTTGGCATCACCCCGGCAGGATCCCTTCCCGCTGAGCCACATGGAAGCTGGATCTGAGCTCCTCAAGTTGTTTCTATGCTGCTTGAGGGGACCCAAGGCTGCTGGGACTGGGGACTAGCATGAGACAAGGCAGGTACTTTCCTCAGGCGCAAAATCTAAGGGGGTGACAAAAACTTGTTAATCAGAATAAACAGTATTTTAATGCATGCTTTTAGAAAAGTAAAATGGCTGCAAAACATAATGGCTAAAATATAAAGATTGTTTAAATAAAGAAGTCAAAGAACTGACTTTGCCCAACCTCCCTCATGACAGTTCATCCACCCAGGTAAGTCTCTGAGGTTTTGAGAGCTGAGTTTAAGGTCAGATTCTACCAGTGACTTGCTGGAGATCCCAATCAAGTCCCTTTCCTTTACTGGGCATTGGTAACTGCATCTTGTCCTGCATGACGGCTGGGGCATTGCCGGGATGGCTTCTGATCTGCTCTCCTCATCCCCACAGCTGGCCAAGGTTACTGTCCCTCTCCCTGGGAGGCTGTGTCTCCAGGGCCATTGACTCCTGGCTATTAATATCTCGGCCATCCCTGGCCTGCTCAGGGTGTTTAATGACTGCCAGCTGTGGCTCTGGCCCCTTCCCCTGGGAGAGATAAGAGCAGTTCCCGTTCCCACATGGGGGAGGTGGGGGCGGCCACAGGGCCAGTGCGCATTACAATAGGCCTGGGTGAGTGGTGGGAATGAGGAACTGGCACGAAAACCTCACCCCACCCTGGCCCAGCCCACCACCACATGGGGCCCTGTCACTTTAGGTCCTGATTCTCAGAACCTTGGGGCCTCTTCCCAGAAGTTTCGCAGACATTTTGCTTGGCATGTTCCACACCAAGTCATCATCTCCCCAATCCCTCTTTTCCTCCTTTACTCTCTATCTGGGTCGCAGCTGGGTCAGGTCCGGGGATCACTGGGTACCACAGAGTGGGCATGGGTCTGAGGGCATGGCCCTGGGTCTCCTGATGCTCCTGGTTTCACCAATCCTGGGGCTTCACCACTTCCTCCATATTTTATCAAGATCTGAAATGGAGCTAGGAAGGAGGTCTAACTTCTGTGCCACCCAGTCTTCTAGCCAGCGGTCTATTTCCAGGTTTGGGGGTCTCTAGGGCCAACTTTGGTGAATTCCTTAAGTGCCGCCAGGTGGCGGTAGAGCTGAGCTGGTCCGGCTTGGCAATGGCACCACAAGACGGGAGGGGGGACCTGGATGCTGAAGGGGAAAAGTGTGTAGGAGAAGTTCAGCTTGGAGGTAACACCACCCCAAGGGCAGCCTGGGATCTCTGCCTGTGACTTCCGCCCTCCTGAGGCAGTGCTTTGGCTTTTTCCCACTCCTGGATGTTCCCTGGACGCTCCACCTCCTGCCACCTCCGGGCAGGGCTGTACCTGTGACTCCCTTTTCTTGTGTGAGTCTTGGGTCACTCTTGCTCCACTCACTTCCCTGATGACTCTGCTCCTCTCCTAGGCTTCTTCTCGCCTGAAGCCGTGACTCACAGAGCAATTTCAGCCACTGTGCAAAATGGTCAGGTCCAGATTATTCGGGCTCTACACGTGGCCTTCACATAGCTCAGGAGGCCTGTGGGGTCCCTGACATGAAAGGTGGGTGCTTCCCTTTCCTCTGCAGATACCTTGTTTCCAGAATCTACTGTCACACCCCACTTGTGTTCCCTTTTCCCTTCTCTTCTTGTACCAGCCTGGGCTCCTCTCTCGTGGGTCTGTGCGGGCTCTGTGTATCGTCTGGACCTCTGGACAGTTTGGGGTTCCCCCTCTACCACAGCCCAGGGGACAGAGTCTGTAGAAGACTCTGGGCCATGCCCTTCCTCACTAGCCATCCACACTTTAGCCAGGGGCTAAGCTAGGCAACCCACCACCCTTTCCGCTTGTGCAGGGGGAGAAAATGAAGCCCAGAAAGGGGGCGGGGATCTGTTCATGAGCCTAGAAAAAGTCTGAAGCAGAATCGGAACTACAAATCTAGGACTGGGTCTTCAGGGCCTTACTGAGGAGTATGGCAGTGGCCAAGGCGTATGGGTCCAGCTCAGCAAGGCACTGAGTTGGGAGGGTGCGAGTGAGTGACAGGTCGCAGGGGAGCACTGTCTCTTTGCTCCTCTCATCCTCCATGCCCTGCAGTATTAGGGATGTGAGATTGTCAGGGAAAACAGAACAGGTGCCATAAGCCCCACCCAGCTCTCCACCACCAGCACTGTTGGCCTGGGTGGGTTGAGGGGTGGGTGCACTCTCTGGCAGTCCTGGGAAGCCTGGAGTCAAGGACCACCTCCTTCTGTCTGACAGTTGAGCAAGCCCAGAGCATGGCTTGGGTGAAGCATCAGCTTGCCTGGGTGTGCTGGACCACTGCCTAAAGGCTACTCCCCCAGGGTTGCCCCTGACCCTGCTCCCTTTTGCCCCAGGACCACCCTTGACTCAGGCCCCTGCAGGAGCTGGATTAGAGCTGTCCTTGGTGATGGGTCCTGAAATGGTACTGAGTCAGATAGGCTCTGGCAGGATCCACGCAAGCAGATCTGAGCCTTTGCTAGTCCATCCTGGCCTCTTTTCCCCCCAGTTTGGCATCTGTCTCCTGTTCCTGCAGCAAGAAAATCTCCTTGCAAGTTTGCAGAAAGTTGAACCCAAAGAGGTCAGCTCAGGCAATGGTTTTGGAGGCATCTCTTGTGACTGACGTCATCCTCTTCACCCTACTGCCTGCGTCTAAACTTTCCATTGGTCAATTGTCTCTGCTCACTTTCTTGTCTGGGTGGTATTTGCACTGTCCTCTCTGTCTCCTCTTGGCTAAACTCTGGGCAATGGAAGCACAATCATCTCATAGCCTGTGCGCTCCTTGTCCACAGAGTGGCTGCGGCCGATGCCATGTCTCTCTGAACCACCTCTGGGACCTTGGACAGCTCTGTCAGCTGTTTTGTGTTGAGCCAAAAATAGAGCTATCTCCTCCTGGCTATCTCTAGACTTAGGGGGTGACAGCCTGGTATAAACTCCATCAGAAGCAAGAAGGTATCACCCAACCACATGTGAATTGAGGGCCCTCAGAATTCTGTATTCCTCACGTGGAAATGCCAGTTTCCCATCTAAAGCAACGTGGGGTGGGGGTGGGGATCCATCTTCAGTGATATTTTGGACTAGGCCTCTCTGGAATGGTGAGGACGATTGCAAGTTGCCAACTGTTCCCCTTTTCAGGACACACAGGAACATCAACCACCAGTGAAACCAAGCTCATTCAACCCAGCATTTATTGTTGCACAAGCCTGTTTGCAGTTCTCATGTGGTGCAAGTAGGAAGCCATGTGGTCACCAGGGTGCAGGGCAGACCCAGGATGCTGTGCCCACAGCCTGCGGCCCAGCTGAGGGTGGGCTGGAGACCTGTCAGCCACACTCCAGGGAGGGTGGTTGGAGACAGTGGTATAACATTATCAGTGGTGATCAAATAACAAGTGGATCACTTGTTGCAATGTATAAAAGGCAGTGAAGAGGCTGTGTTTCACCTTCCCAGACCTGAGTTCAAATCCTGCCTGTGTAACAGGCCAGGTCCCTGCTTTCTGTGAAACTCGGTTTCCTGATTTGTGAAACAAAAACAGTAGTTCCTACCTTGCTGGGTCGATGTGAGGACGGGGAGGCCCAACACCCGTGTGCCTCTGAGTCTGTTCTAACAGCCGACACAGAGGTGGGCCGTCAGGGGAGGGGAGGGCTGGCAGCCGTCTCTCTCATTGTCTCCGTCTTCTGGGGTCCTAGGCTGGGATCACAAGTACCACCCCGCTCCACGTCAGTGGGGACTGTGACAAAGCCTGTGCTTCCCAAACCAAAAGTCCGTATCACAACCACATCTGCCCGAGGCAGAGAACCTCATTTGCCCAAAAGAACAGGCGAGCTACGAGGAGGACATTGGGGGAGATGCCCAGGTCTTCAGAGACATCTGTCTCCATGGCAATGTTTAACCCAAAGGAAATGGACATTGCAATTTCAGGCACTGTTGAGGAGGCACACTGCTCCCACAGGACTGCTGAGGGAAGGCCATGGCCTTCCTTTGATGGGCCAGGAGAGATACCAGGGGGCAGAGTCAGGCGAGTGTGCAGGTTTCTTGCCCTTTGGGGAAAGGAGTCTGATGACTGACTGCCGCCCCACATCTTCCAGGACAGGAGCTCCGGGCGCTCTGGCGTGCTGAGAACGGCCCCCTCGTCCATGCTCCCTGCTCTCCCCAGGCAGCACAGGGGTGATGTTCTTCAGGCCTCTGGGCAGGGACCTGTGGGTGCAGGCAGAAGGGGCCTTCCAGGGCTTCTGCTGCTCAGACCAGGGAGACTTCAGCCTGGAAGCTGGAAGAGCGGCGGGCGCCAGGGCTGACGCGCGTCAGCATAGAGACCTGGGTGCTGCATGTGGCCCCATTGCTGCCTCCAGATGGGTGATGGTACTTGGGGTCCAAGCCCAGCACGCCCTGCAGGTGCCAGCGGCGCCACTTCCGCCGCATCTCTGCCTGAACCTGGGAGGAGGGACGGGGTCAGGCGCGCCCTGCAGAGCCTCCTCCTCTGCTGACTGACCTGCTTCCCCTCCCGCCAAATGGAGACTGGCTAGAGTTGATGCCCAAAAGGGCAAAGGGCAATTCGTCACTGGAGTGGGTGGAGGTGGGAGGCAGCGAGGACGGGAGTGCGGTCCAGGGCTAGAGGGGGCCCCCCACCCAGGGTGGCTCCAGGCCTGTTCTGACTCCTGCCCCTCAGCTCACTGGAGCTCTTCCAAGTGGGTTTTTGTGGTTTGTGCCCAAGACGCAAGCCACAGGCACTCAGCCTTGAAGCCTTCACCCTCCTCAGGGGCTCTACACACAACCACTTAACACAATCGCTTCACAAACTTGGATGTACTCCCAAATTCCTTGGGGGGATTCCCTGAAAATGCACATCCTAAGCAGATCAGGGTAGGTCTTGTCTGAGGCACTGCTGACCTACTGGCCTGAGGACCAACCTGGCATAGCAAGGTTTACCCGTCATTGCTCTGCATACACCCATCATTGTTTCTGGACCCCAGAACTGTGAGTTCTGTGCCCTGCTCCCACAGTCAGGAGAGACTTACCTCCCCATTGAGAAAGCAGTAGAGGACGGCCACCACAAAGCCCTGGGGAGGAAGGGAGAAGAGGTGAGCCCACAGCCTGGCCCTTCCACTGGCCCCAATGCCAGTGTCCCCCAGATTATGCAAAGGGTTGAGCAGGTAGGTGCTTAATTCTCATTACAATGAAAAGATTAGTATACATCCCAAAGGGCTACTTCTCCCGGATAGAATTCTCTTAGAAGCCTGGGGTCCCGTTAAGTCAACAGTGCATACCTGGAAAGAGCCCAGGAGCAGCTCAAAGACCATTCTTACTTCAGCCTTAAAGTTGTCAGGAAAGAAGGCAAACATGATGTAGTGTACTCCAAACAGGGGGATCAGCAGCAGGGTGGACTTGGCCAGCCTCCTGGGGACAGAGGAGAGCAGGCAGTGAGTGTGTGGATCCACACATGTGGCTAGATAGGGCCTGTGGGGAGCTGCTGTGGGCGCAGAGGGCCGGGGGCCAGGACGAGAGGATGCACTGCAGTGTTTTGGGAAGAGCACATCCACACCTGCTCCTGGCAGCAGAATCTGCAGCGCCTGGCCCGTGTGTCTGGGCCTTTCTGCCTGGAATGAAGCACCAAAGAGACGCCTCTGTTCTCACCCTTCCGGAGGACAGAATGGGATGCCAGTGCTGAACCTGAAGGGTGAAGCCTAATGATGGCATTTCAGGTTCTGAGGCAGCTAATGGGGAGATGTCCTCAGGCACCCGAAGATCCTGGCTTTTCCCTCTCCTGGTCTCAGTTTCCCCAGGAAAATGTGTAGTGGGGGTAAATATATACTCGCCAGGGTCCAATTACAAAAATGGGGCTCACTGTACACTCAAGAGGGGTGTGGGGTGCTATGAAGTGCAGTACATCAATAGGGGATGGATTGTCTCTGAGAATGAGGACCTCTGTAAGTGACCACAGAAGCCCAAGCCCCTTGGAAGGTTGGTGGGCGCTCAAGTTTGTGCCATTCATCCATCACCAAAGATGGCCCAGAGTTAGCTAGTGCAGACCTCTGATTTTGGCTTCTCTGCTATGTTGCCACCTTTTCTGGGATGGCTCCCCGCCCCTCCCCCCCCCCATGACATCATTGCCATCTTGCTCTGAGAGTAGGGTCCTTCTCTCTCTAAATGACTGTCCCTGTCCCATGGAGCAGGGCTCACCCGGCTCAGGTCTCCTGCCACCTCATCTCATACCTGGTCCAGGCAGGGTGAGTCCAGGTTTCCTGGCTGGGGGAGTTGTGAGGGGCAGTGTCTCTGCCTGTCTCTCCCACACTGGCAGCCAGTTGGGCAAAGTGAAACCCTGAGCCTGAGGGCCTCACCCTCTCACTCCTTCCTGGTCCCAGTTCCCAGTCGCACCAAGATCCTGAGCACTGCCCACCCTCCCTGGCTGCAAACCCACCCTGCGTGCCGAGGCTGACAGATGGAGGCTTTCTTTAAGTTGAAGGCTTTGGAGAGGTGGAGAGTGGGAGCTGGCAGCCCCTCCACAGGGGCTCCATCTCCACTCAGCAGCCCCTTCCGCCTGCTGACAGCTGTGCAGCTCCCTCTACCCACACGGGCCTGGGGATGACCAGCTGTCTGCCTTTGATTCGAGATCTTTTGAGTGGTTGTACCTGGGGGATAACAAGGCCCTGCAGGCACAGCAGAGGGTGCACAGGCCTGATGTGCTGCTCCTCAGCAGACTGCAGGCTGCAGACCCCTGCAGAGCCTTCCCTCCTCAGACAGGAAGAGAAGCTCTGCCTACACACCCAGTGGGAGAGAAGTTGCCACACCAGGAACGTGAGCCTTAGTCTCATCAGAGAGAAAGAATCACAGGATTCCAGAATAGAATCCTAAATCCAGCTCCTGACATTCGAGCCAGGAATCTTAGAACTCCCCAAAGAGAAGCCGGGCCAAGAAGAACATTTGAGTATCCCAGGACTGGAAGGCCCTATGGGAGATCCCAGGTTTGTCTTGTCTATGCAATACCGATAAACAATTTCTTGTTGCCATCTGTGGGCATGCAGACCCCCTAAGCCCTTCCCACAGCCACCCTATTAAAAATGTTTCTGCAGTTCTATCTTTAAGCATTGTTGTTCTCCCAAAAATCTGCCTGGTGCTCCAGCCTCTCTGACACAGGGAGTCATCCTCACACATTTCTAAGCAAGAAGCATGAGCACTGTGCTCTGTCTCTGCCATGGCCACGTGCTCCCAAGCCCTTGCAGAGAAGGGATTGTGTGTCAGTTTTCTCATCTGTAAAATGGGGGCAATTTATAGGAGGAGCTATAAATGAGATGATACATGCACCACTCAAGACAACCCTATGTCACACACCTGGCATACTGGCAGCTGTTATATATATGCATACAGAACTGGGGTATAGACCAGAGGTGTAGTTGGTAAGAAGATGCACTAAAGACAGAGTGGGGAGCAGAACAAGTAGACCTACTGAAATACACTGCTGGGAGCAGTGGGCCGGTCAGGAGAGGTCTGCCACGCCATGGGGGTCAGCTCCCTGGCTGGGGATTGAGCTCACACTGCAGTGGCTTTGGGGAACTTCATAATGCAGTGCTTTAATCTCTTGCGCCACCAAGGAGAGCCCTGCAGCTGTTACTTTTACTGGGGAGGTCAGAGCCCTCAAGATGGCCGCCTCATCGAAGACTGAGGGCTCCCCAGGCATCCACCTACTGGGTCTCTTTCTGTGCCAGGCACATGCGAGGGACTGGGCACGTGGCGTGAACAAGACTTGAGAGAGCTACTGTCTTCTTTAGCTTCCTGGCTTAGCGGCAGGTACATACCTGGGTCTGATCATCTGCCAGGTGTGTGACTGCAGGGAAATCTACCTGGGCCTGCAGGCAGCCTGCTGAGGGTGGGGCTGGACACTTGTGGACTGAACCCTGCCATAGGGGTGGAGGTGAGTAAGGGCAAGATGTCTTTTTGGTGACTCTGGAGGCTCAGGGAGATGTGGAATAGTTTAAGGACAGTGGTGGTGGTGGGGGGGGCGGGTCACAGGGGCCCAGGGCATCGGGCCCACACTCACGAGTACGGGCTGCTGTCACTCTTTCCGACATCTGGGGGTCGAAGTTTCTGAACCAGGATTCGGATGATGCAAATGAACAGGATGAAGTTCACCTGGTGAGTGGGCCCGAGGTCAGTGGGTCAGAGAGGGGAGGATGGGCCTCCACTTCCCTCTCCCCTAGTTCTCCCCTTTTTGGGCAGGCCATTAGGAAACTCTAGTTCATACCCCTAAAGACTGGGCACCCCAGTCAGCTTTCTCTACAGGAAGAACTGGGCAGTGTGGGGTATAAGGGATGGGGCCTTGGGCACTGGAAGCCGAGGTTTCAGTTCTGACCTACACACAGATTCCTGTGAGACTGAAGGTAAGGTGACTACTCAGCCTGGGCTCCAGTTTCCCCACTGCTGAACGCAGGAAGTGAGTCTTACCAAGATGGAGGTGAGGATGGGGGCCTTTATGATCCACCATAATGGAGAGTTGATGGTGTCCCAGCATCTGGGCAGAGGAGGGCAGGGTAGAAGGAGACAGGTTGTCCTCAGCCATAGAGAGAGCCAGAGGCTGTGAGGTTGTCCCTGGCTCTGCCCCGGAGCCCTTTAGTGACCACAGGCCCAGAGTCTGTGGTTCCCGGTCCTCCTCGTCCTGCCCTGGGGATCTGCCCCAAGCGATAGCCAAGGGAGGGGGTGGGGTGATAACTCACCCAAAATCCTCAAAATAGATCCTGACGATGGTCCAGATCATGGTGAATGTGCTAGGCGCCCCTGTCAGGGCCAAAGGAGAGAGAAAAAGGGGGAGAAGGGCGTGGAAGGGGGGGATGGAGGACGTAAGGGAGAGATTGAGGAGAAAGAATCAGAGAGCAGGAGGAGAGAGAAAAAGGTGGGTTTCCAGAGCTGCCACTACAGTAGCATAATGGTTTCACTGTGCAAATTTGCTGCTGCCCCAGGGAGTGATCCCTCGGGCTGTGTCCCATGAAGGGAGAGCTCTTTTCTAATTTCACCAGAGGCGCTTTATTGGCTAGCAGTGGCCTGGTGTGTTTCAGGGTGAAGAGGGCAGACTTCCATGGACCTTGACCTTGTCCCACTCACCAGCCCTAGGTGCAGCCACTGTCCAGGGACACCTGCTCTGGGCCTGTAGACAGGATCTGCAGCCCAGCAGGACCTCAAATGGTAGGCTGACCTGGCATCCTCCCCCGTGAGCTCCCCAGGCATCACCCCCTCTATCCCCAGCCCTCCCTGGTACCATACCCCAGCCGATGAGTATGTACCCCCAGAAGTACTTCCGCTCGGAGAAGAAGGAGACGGCCAGCAGGGTGTACAGGTAGAAGCCCTCCACCAGCAGCCAGAAGAAGTTGGCCATGACACAGTACTGCAGTAAGACCACGGCTGCCTTACAGCCCACCTGCAGAGGGAGGAAGAGAGGGGCTCCCTTGGGCTAGCTGGGGAACCTGCCAGCCCCAGCTCTGTCTGGCGGACACAGTTGCTATCCAGCTGATGTAATCTCTTTGCTGTTTTTGCATCTTCCCCTTTGAAAATACTCAGCAATTTTTCTATTCTCTCTGATTTTCGATCCTCTGGTTCTTTGGGACAAACTTGTTTTTTTAATTACAGACTCATCAATTTATTAGCTATTCATCTTCCTATCTGTGTATCCACCCACCCACCTACTTATCCAATCATCCACCCACCATTTATCCATTATTTACCCACCCACCCACGAGACACGCACTGCCTCCACCCCCGTCTCCTATCTGCACCATGCATCTCCCCCTACTCGTCTTCCATTCTGCTCCCCCTCACTTACCTCTCCATTCATGTCCACCTGACCACATCCACTGCAACCCTTCCAGTCCATCCGTTCAACTACCCACCCATCCATCCATCTGTTCCTCCATCCATCCACCTACCCTCTAGCCATCATTTATCCCCATTTTCTTACTTTATCCATCTGTACTTCCACCTACTCAGTCACCCAAATGTCTGTTTACTCAGCCATCCGTCTACCTACCCATCCACTTAACCCCTTTCTCCCACATCTCCTCATTCATCTTATTCCAATTAGGAGAGAAGGTAGCAGGAGGAGGCATATGTGAGAATTCTTGCTGGAGTTTGAAAAAGTCCCCTGAATGTGTGGGGATGCAGGCTGTGGAGTGGGGCCCAGCTGGAAGTGTGAAGGAGACATGAGGACTGAGAAGGGAGATGAGGAGGGGAGGCAGAAATGAGGAAAACGACGGGAAGGGAGGGCACCTCATCCTGGGGACCTGAGGGCACGAGGGACATGGGGACAATGGAGTCATGAGGTCCCTGGGGCAGGGCAACCGGGATTCTGGGTGGCCACCTGGCCTGATTAGAACTGAGCCTAGAAACTTGAGAGCCAGAGCTTAGAGCCACTGCCTGCCTCCGGGAAGCCCTGGCTTCCCCGTCTTGCTGTACCCACAACCTGGGTCCCCACCCTTCCTTCCTGTGCCCTTGGCTTTGAGACCTCCTCAGAGAACAGCCTGTCCTCCTGTGCCTTTGGCTGAGAAGTCCTGCCTCAGACTGCATTTGGTGCCTGCCGCGACAGGCTGCCTGCTCTCTCCTTCCCCCCATTTGCTTTATCACAAGAATAATTCTGCTCTTTAACAGGACGATTATTTGTGCTTCTCTTAGACAAGCTTCACAGAGCTGCTAATAACTAGGGAAGGCAGTTGCCACAATTATCCCAACAAGTGCATTGGAGGCTCGGCTCCAGGTTCACGCTCTGCTGTCTGTCTCCGGACCGGATCTGCTGAGGGGCCCTGGGGATGGTCAGACTGGCTCCTTGGGAGGACTTTCCTCCCCCTCATCGAGATGCCAGAGAGGTGCCATCACCAGGTTCATTCTTTGGGAAGGAGGTCCTGCGGACCTCTCAAACGACGACCTGCTTCTGGGCGTACGTAGAAGCAGTGAGTCACTTCAAGGAATGGGTGGGAGTCAGGGCTGGTCTCCAATTCTCTGTCCTAGCTGGGGGGAGCCTCGTAACCTCCCCTCCCTAGGAAGGCCCAGAACTGGGCTGATGAACTAGAAGGCTGTGTATGTTTGGATGGCAGGAGGAGGCAATGGGAAGGGTGAGGCACCCTGGTATGCAGAGAGTAGGGCTGGCAGGGATCTCGGAAGCCCTGTGTAGATGAGGAGTTAGGCTGGAAGTTCCCTAAGGTCACGCAGGACGCCTGCAACAGAGATGAGATGGGGCTCTGGGCTCAGCCACGAAGGGTCCCGTTTCCCATGAAGAAGGGGGGTTCCCACTGGCAGGTCTGTGCACACCCAGAGGGCTGAGCACCGTCTCTTGTTGCTGACAGGACGTGGGGCTCAGGGGGTGCCAGGGAGGGTCGAAGGAAGGCGCTTTGGTCATCCTTCCAGAGAGAGTGAAGACGAGAGGTGGGGAAGGCAGGGGAAGGAGGAGAATCAGACCTCTAGTGAGAGGAACGAGGAGGGAAACGGAGGCGGGCCGGGGTGGGGTCCTCACCGAGCCCTCGCAGTGGTCTACCTCCTTGCTGTCGAAGAGGGTCAGGTCTTTGATGAAGACGGCGATGGCCCTCAGGATGAAGGACATGAAGAGATGCATGTGGATGTAGTTCCTCGTGCAGTGCAGCTTCCTGCTCGGGGCAGGCAGTTCTGGGAGGCCGAAGGGCTCCTGGACCCCCAACCCCCCCCCCAACTCTGTTCGGTGCTCTGAGCAAGGGCAGGGCAGGGAGAACATGTGGCCTCTGCTGTGAACACTGTCCCCAAGGGGAGCCCTGCCCCAGGTACCCCCATCTCCATGTGCAGCCTGGCTTTCAAGTGCTTCACGCCCTCCCTCAATGCCTCCCAGTGCAGGGTCATCCTGTGGGGTGAGGCTGACAGGCAGGGCACTCTGAGCAGCCTGCCGCCTCCCGGGGAGGCTAGCCTGGCAAGGGGGCTGGGGGCCAGACTGTATGCAGCCCGGGGGGCGACCTGGCCCCGGACCTTACCTGAACAGACTCAGGATGGCAGTGGCGACCAGGAGGGCAGCGAGAGACAGGCTGTAGCCGATGGTGTAGCCGATCTTCACAGAAGTGTAGAACCTTGTCTGCTGCTGTTAGAGGGAGGTGGTTGAAGATCTTGGGTGGGGGCAGATAGGCTCCCCTAGGGGGTGCTGGCGGGTGCCCTTTCCCCCTTATCTTGGCAGATGAGGAGGGTGGGGCCCAGGGCCTCTAAAAGCAGCTGAATGGCCTCCTGCAGCACAGAACTGCTCCCCAGGTAGGGCAAGGGTCATTCAGCCCTTTCTGCTCCTCCCTAGTGAAGCAAAGGCCTCACACATTCCATTTATCCATCCCTCAGTCAGGTGCTCAGGACTCCTTCGTGCTGTTTCTGAGCTTGGCACCCTAAGGAGTCCAGGCTGCTTGCCCTTCAGGCCCCCCGCATGAAGCCCTCTCTTTGTATGCTGACGGGAGGTGCACAGGGAATGAGGAGCCTTCAAGAAAACCCTGGGGGGTAATTTCCTATTTGGGGCTCTCAGGGGCTGCAATCAGCAGGATGAGGGCAATTTGGTCTTTCTGGGGGAGCAGAACTAAGCTGGAATCTGAGGGCTCCTTGCTGGCCTCTCTCCTGCTCCTCTCCCCATGGACACACACACAGCGCCAGTCACTGGACAGGGCCCCCCTTCCTCTCCACTTCCTGCCCCCCTGCTGGAGCAAGGCAGATGGCTGTGAGGGCTGAGCTGCTGCCTGAGCTACCGGTGGGCTTTGAAAGCCTCTAGGACAATTGCTGTCCTCTTGGGAGGAGTAAGCCCGTCTGAGCGGGTGTCTGCGGGCCGGACAGAAGGACAGAAGCCATCACAGACCCATAGATACATAGACAGATGTGGCAGGACAGAAGGACAGAAGCCATCACAGACACACAGACAGATGTGGAAGGGCAGAAGGACAGAAGCTACCACAGACCCACAGCCACTCATATAGATGTGGCAGGACAGAAGGACAGAAGCCACCACAGACACATAGACACACAGACAGATGTGGCAGGATAGAAGGACAGAAGCCACCACAGACCCACAGCCACTCATATAGATGTGGCAGGACAGAAGGACAGAAGCCATCACAGATCCACAGACACACAGTCAGATGTGCGCTCACACACCCAAGTAACGGGACGCCTAGCTGAGGGGCTCTCATCGGTAACCCCACCTGGCTCCTGGACCCATGTCCCTAGGACACTGCTTGTGTTTAGAGAGACAGATCCCCGCCCCGGGACAGAGAACAGGGCCCTCCTTCTCCCTGACTGACGGCAGGGGCCTGTGGCTGGTCTTGCCCAGGACCTGCACTTTGGTTTCTCTTCTGCATATGACAGGAAGGGTGGCATCCATCTCCCTAGCTACATCCAGAGCTGGAGCAAGGCTCCCCAGAGACAGTGAGGCAGCCTGGCCTGGGGGTGCTTCCTCAGCCTTTGCTCCTTAGGGCCATCCTCATGAAACCCCCTCCTGCACCCTGTCAAAGGATCATGGGGATGAGCCATGGGAACGCAAGCCTGCAGAGGAAGGAGGCTTGGTTCCCACACTGATGGTGACCTCACCCCTTGGTGGGAGAGAGAAGGGGCCTTGCCAGCTAAGGCCTTCTGGGGGATGGGGTGCACCGAGGCCTACCTCGTCCAAACCTGGTGCCCTGTCTTCCATGCCACAGGCAGAGATGTAGGGGCCAGGCTCCAGCTCTCTCCAGCCCTCACTGGTGCAGTTGCGGCTCACGTTGCGGCCTGGGTAGAGAGCAGGGTGGAGCGGGTTGAGGCCAGGGAGAGGGTGTCTCTGCGGTAGGTACAGCGCCTGGCTGTCTCCGTGCTCAGCCCCATCCTATCAGCCCTGCCTTGTCGGTTCTGGCTGCCCTGGTCTGGACACCAGGGCATCACGGGGCACACGAGGGCAGAGAGAAGCCCCGCCAGTCTCCCCGGGGCTCATGCTGCCCTTCCTCATGTCTGCAGCTGGGCCCAATGACACCATAAACTGATCCTGTGTCTGGGTCCTTCACCTAGAGTGGTCCTGCCCTTGCCGTGAGCTAAATGCTGACCCTTGTCACAACCGCAGAAGCTGCCGGGAGACGGCGTCTTCCTCCTGCGGTACAGGCGGGACTGAGGGTGTGCTCAGTCCTCCCAGCCAGCTGTCTGGGTTCCGGGCCTGGGTTCCCTCCCATACCCAAGGCTGGCGCTGCTGGAGCAGGCCCAAAAATGAGACAGGAGGTGGGTGGGGCTGGGTAATGCCTGATAAGGGCAACTCTCTGAAATCCTGATAAATGGAGGAGGAAGAAGCAGGGACCTGCCCAGGCGAAGGCCTGTGAGAGGAATCAAGCCATGCCAGGCCTTGGGGCTGAAGCCAGGCACCTGCATTCTCCTCTGTCCTCGGAGGTCCCAGGCTACAGCAAAGGGGCCCTGTGAGGTGAGGGGTGTCTCCTAGCTGGGGGCTCTAGTTCTGGAGAAGAGCTTTTGCTCTGCATGACTGGATGGGGCCCCAGAGTCTTCTAGGTAGTGCTGGCCTTCACCTGCACTGAGGTGACCAGGTGTCGAGGTGCAGAGCTGTCGGGGGGGGGGGGTCCTCACACCTCTGCAGGGAGGGTCACGGCGATTGTGTGCTAGGTGTTCCCACACTACAAGCGCTCACAGCACACCAGGTGGTCGCTACTCACGCTTTCTGCAAATTCTCATGGCCACCCTTTGGGAGAGGTTCTTACTACCTTACTTCATGGTTGAGGACCTGAAGGGCAGCTCAGGGTGGAGGAGCGACTTCCAGGAAGGAGCCCTGGGGCTGGGTCTCTCCACTCTCCGGTGCATGAGGGAGGGCAGGGAGGGCCATGCTGAGGTGGGGGCAGCCGGCAGGGGCAGACCTGCCCCGCAGTCTTTCTGCAGTCCCCCAACCACACACCTGCGAGAGGCTCTGAGCCTGGGAGAACAGTCTCCAGCTGCCCCAGCTCAGCCCTCAGCCCTCCCCGATTGCAGGGCGAGCTTGCAGGGTTCAAATAATTACCCTACCAAACGGCAGCCTCGCTTCAGCCCCAGACCTCAGGAGTCACATAGCCTCATTAGCTTCCTTCACAAGACCCGACGTCTGCTGTCTTGCTTCTGGTTTCTTTGGCAAGAGGGGACCCCAAAGCCAGAGGTCAGTGTCCCAGCTTCACGGCTGGCTGACTTGGCCTTGTCTGCTTTTCCTACTTGCCCCAGCCTGGTGGGGGCAGTCCCGTTAAGCATCCAATCCTGGGTGCAGGGCATGGCTTTGAGATCCCCACTTGCTGTCTGGACAAGAGCTCGATGAGGCCAGGCCCACGAAGTGAGCTAGTGAGCCTGGGAGACTCACAGCATCTCCACAGCGACTTCACATACCTCACATGGGAGCAGGGATCTTGGACATTTCTGCTAATCTAGTGACCAGGAACTGCCCTCAGTCCCACTAAAAGATGGAGGCCAAGCTGAGAGAAGTGAAGTGATCAGCTGTCGTGACAAGCCAACAAGGACAGGTTCTCTCTCCATTCAGGCAGGCAGATAAAGGGGAGTCCTGGAGCCCCCACTGGTTTTCAGGCTGCATGGGGCAAAGCTGCAGGCTGGCATGGCAGGGAGGCTGGCAGAATGCCGGGAGGATGATAGGCGTCCTAGCCCCAGCAAATCTTTACTCTTTCTCTGGGCTCTCTCTGGCATTCTCTCGCGATCTCACTCTGGTAGTTGTTCTGTCGTACGTAGCTGTAGTCTTTTCTCTCTGAGTGATGCCACCCTTATAGCTCCGCCTCCTGGCTCAGGTGCACCCACTCACATGTGCCCACACGGTCTCCAGGTGTCCACCATCAGGCAGGCGAGCCAACACCCATGCTTCCAAGCGCTTCCTGCTTTCAAGGCTGCAGGTGATAGCCAGAGGCTGGCGGGGTAACAGCCTGGCCGTCCTCCTTTACCACACTTGCCTATGGTCATTTAGCAAGGGAGCAGCAGGTCTGGCATGAAATGAAGTTTCGTCTGACTCCAGATCTTTCTGGGCTCCCTGCAATGTCTGGGGGGTGCCCTGTTCCCTGGATCCTTGGCTGCCCTTGGCTGGCAGGGCGGCAGAGGAGAGCAGGCTCTCACTAGGGTTGGGTGGTCTCTTTGAAGAGTCTTGAGAATGTTAAGTCTCCTGAGGAGGGAGCCCTGAGAAGCAGCCAAAGTCTCTCCTGGGTCTGGGCCTGGGAACTGGTGGATCGCTCTGTGTGAGGAGCGGGGTATGGCGGGTGGGAAGGGCAAGGGATTTTCACCCCATGCCAGGAGGGACATTCCACTCATTTCCCAGTCTCCTCCTGCTCACCATGCTTCAAAAAGAAGGCACACGCCCCCACCCACTCCTCCCCAGGACTCTCTGCCTGAAAAACATCACTCAGTGACTGAAGGTGGAAAGTGGGAGTCACTTTTCTCTCCCACCAGCACCAGTCCTGTCTCAGCCTCTCTCTTCAATTCCACATCAGCTCATCTTCCCTGAGTTAGGTAGGAGCCCCTGATGGGCCTCCCTGTTTTCCTCCCCACTCTGAGCTGCCCTTATCCTGAACTTGGCCCAGTCAGGGCACTCCCCTGCTGAAATCCTATCAGTGACACTCATCCCAAACACCAGGGCAATATTAGGCTCACTTCACTATTTACGGGAACTCCCTGGTGGTGCAGAGGTTAAAGACAGTGCTATCAAGCTCTGCCAGGCACTGCAGCATGAGTACTACCAGCCAGGGAGGTGACCCACACAGTGCAACTGACCTCTCCTGACCGCCTGCTGCTCCCCTCAGCAGTGTACATCGTCCATCTGCCTGTTCTGCTCCCTACCCTGTCTCTGGTGAATCCTCTCACTGCCCCTGCACCTCTGGCCTGCACCCCAGTTCTGTATGTACAAATAAATAAATCTTTAAAAACAAAGACTACTAGTTATGACTTCATGATACACAGGTAGTGGGGTAGGTAAAGGAGGAGACCCCAGAAACAATGTATGTTGAGTTTTCTCAGCCAAAATAGCTCTCCTATGTTTCATCCTAAAAAACAGTCTCTTCATATATTTGAAGGTAAAAACACCCCAGATGAAAGACATGAAGATCGCAAATTAGAGGAGAAGGCCCCCACAAACACAGGGCTCCCTGATGAGAGTCCCTTACCTGATCAACCTTCCAACCCTGGTTTCTTATTCACTCTGGGTAGATGACTTCTTCCTGTCCCTCCACAATATTTAATCTTCCGTGATGTTTTTCCACTTTTCCGGTAGAAGTAAGGTCCCGCTGGCCCTCCAGAGAGGACACTCCTTGCCTTGCCCTGTTACCCAAGGAGCGGGGGTTTCTATCACCCCACCCTGTTCGTGCTTTCCTTGCAAACTTCCCTTTAGAATTCACGTTACTCTCGTTCTTCATCTCTCTGTGCAGGAAAGCATGGCCTCTTTCCTTTCTGTTTTCAGCCCCTACCCCATTTCTAGTTCTAGCCCCTAATCCTCTCCCTCAGAGGAGATGAGGCCGATGGACGGGGGTGGGAGGAGGGGGGGCTAAAAACTGCTTCAGATCCAGCTTGTCAGCAGGAGGGCGCTGGCAGGAGTTGGCTGCACCTGAGAAGAGCTGCCTTTGTCTCATCTGCACAAGGGCGCGTGTGGACCCTTGAGGCTGGCAGCTGGGGGTTAGGCAGAATGTGGGCTGGAATCCAGGTTCTCAAGCGAAGGGGCTGCCTTGACAATTCCAACAGAGACAGGAGGAAGAGCCATCAGGAGGAATGCAATTAGCAGCGTGTCAGGGAGGAGCGCAATCAGCAGGCACAGGCTTCCTGGGATCCGACAGGAGGACAGGAGGCTGGTTGCCAGGCTCTGCTGATAGGACCCCGTGAGGGCTGCCAGAGGAGTGCGCCCTGTGTGCCCAGGGGCAGGGTTCCCCGGCGGAAGGCAGGACTGGGTGGGTGATGGCTGGAATGTGGCAAGCCTGTGGAGATTCCGGACCCCTAAAGGAAGGCACCCACATTTCTTTTTCATTGCTGAGGTCATGACACCGAGCTCCCTGATAGGGGTGGGTAAAACGTGCCTGCCCCAAAGAAACCATTTGGTTCTATGCCAGCCTGGGTCCATCTTACAAACAAGGAAAGAGATCCAGAGCAGAAAGCTCACCTTTGCCCACGAATCTTTCGGCTCAGCCTCTGAATCCTTGTCTAGGTCCTGCTTTGCACCCACGCCAGCTTCGCCCCTCATCTTCCCCACTCAGCTTGCTCCTCCCTTGGTCTGCCCCCTCCCATTCCAGACTTTTCCTCGACACCCCCCCCCCCCCCGCTCATGTGACCTAGACATGAGGGGGCTGTTTGACTCTCCCCTCCCCCACCCCACACCTCTCCCCTCCCCACCCAACCCCAGGCCTATACCCTCTTCTCTTCTCTGCCCCTCTGGAGTTCAAACTGTCACCTGTCACCTCTTTGACTGGATCTGCACCTGCAGAGACTGTTCTCACAGAAACCAGTTACCCATTAAAACCAACTGTGGACTGTGTCAACTCAGAGACCACAGTGGCTTCTCAGAGACTCAGGAAAAAGCCCAAGGCCTGGGTCACCCCTACGGCCCTGCCCGGCCTGGCCTCCTCCACCCTTCTCTTTCCTGCCCTTGGACCCCAGCCACGCGAGTCCACATGGAGCTTCCTGAAGTTTTCCTGCTATTAGCTGCTGGTTTTCTCCCTCAGGGACCTCCAGGCTACCCAGGGTCTTAGCCTGGTGGCTCCTTCCCACCCAGGGCTTCAGAGGGCAGCTGAAGCATCGCCCTCAACAAGGCCTGGGTCGCTGGCTGTACCGACCCCCTTCTCTCTCAGCCCCTCATATCATTTAAGATACCGGCGTTAACGGCCTCGCTAAAAGTCTCTCGAGGAGCACATAAGCTCCCCGAGGGCATACAGTGTGGTTATTTTACACACGCACAAGCACAAACACGTTCCTCTAACCTGTGCCTACCGTCCTTGTGAGTATTTAATAAACACTTGCTCACTGCAAGAATAGCTGATTAGATGTGGCCAGGCCCTTTAGTGACGCAGCAGTACAAGCCCCCTTCTGACAGAGGCCTCTTTCCTTTCCTGCCGTACCTGTGAACTTTCACTCAGGCAGAGCCTGGCAAGGTGAGTTGTGAGCAAGACGGTGGTTTTGCAGCACCCAGGAGGTCACTGGCTCCAGGTAGTAGTGAAAGGCGGAATTGTGATTAGCCCAAGACAACGGCGCATGGAGCCATAACTTCATCAAGCAGTGTCAGTCAAAGATTTACCAGTTGCTGAGCAAATACTCTGTGAACACTTCCCACACACTTATCTTTATGAGAAGAGTGAATGGAGCCCAGGAGTCCTTCAAAGACCCTGCACCAGTGCATGCTCCTCCAGGAGCCTCTGCCCCTTTGCTTCAGTCCCTTCGCCCCTGCTCCTTGGCCCTCTTCCTCCTTACTTCCCACCAAGACCCCACTGCAGTCATCCACCAGCCTGCTTGTGCCACCCGGCTCCTCCTGTAACCCCGGGCTCTCACCTTCAATGGAAGTGAAGATCTTAAAGATGAGGGGGCAGGCCACGACGACCACCTGGCCCCGAGGGGTGGCCGGCCAGCAGGTGAGGTTGTCCCACATCTTGCCACAGCCTGCAGGGGATGGCAGAGGGTGCTGAGTCAACGTGGGCACCAGGCGCCCCCAGCCTTGGGGCCTGTGCCCACAGACACCCGTTCTCTCCCTCCCATAGGTGCCCACCTTGAGGAACCTGCAGGCTGAGCGGGGAGGTGCCAGCCAGCCAGGCCCCACGGCCAGGAAGCGGGGAAGAGGCAGGCCACAGCACCACAGTCCTCAGTGAGGACCGGGCAGAGCGCTGCCTGAGTGTGTTTGGAACTGTGGCGGGGCAGGGGTGGGGGCTGCTGTGTTGCAGAGGTTGAGGGGCCTCCCCCCGCATTTGATGGGCAGGTGCCAACAGGCATCTGCATCATCCCATACAAGGGCGAATTGCTCAGCCTTGGCAAGGCTTTCGAGGAGCCGCTGGGCATTTGTGTGGGTGGAAGCCTTTTGTAATGAGCAGACCCTGGGCTCCTACTCCAGTTCACAGGCAGAGCCAAGGTTTAGTTGTACAGGTTTAACTTAACGGAGTTTTCTAGGAAGGCAGCTACTGAGTCAGAGAGCACAGGTTGCTTCCGTGTGTTCTGGACTTTACTTAGTGTTGTTCATATTTTGCAAAATCATGTTACCTGCAGTAATGTTACCCACATGTCTGTCTACATTTACATCCCTCGTGCCCACAGCTTCAGACTTTGTCTTCGTTCTCTGTGTAATTGTGGCTGAATAGGTAGAAGGTGTTTTACTGTAACTCCCCCTTTGGTTTTTTTTTTTTATTAAAGATTTATTTATTTATGCATACAGAACTGGGGTACAGGCCAGAGGTGCAGCGACGGTGAGAGGCTTCACCAGAGACAGAGTGGGGAGCAGAACAGGCAGAGCGATGAAGTACACTTGAGGGGAGCAGCAGGGAGACAGGAGAGGTCTCCAGTGCCATGTGGGTCACCTCTGGGGCAGGGGATCAAACTTGCACTGGAGCGGCTGTGGCTAGCTGCATCCTAACCTGTTGCGCCACCAGGGCCCCCCCCCTTTTGATTTTCCTATCATGTGACAGTTAGAATATCATCAAAAAAAAAAAGAGTGTGAAAAAAAAAGGTGAGTGAGTGTGTTCTGAATTTCATTTTATAACACTGGAGGAGGTAGTAGAAAATATTTGTAATAAAAAGGAGGTGTTGGGTATAATGGGGTGATGGTATATCGGGCTTCATCTAATTCTTGAATCTTCACAAGACTTACAAAGCAACAGTGATGACCCCAACTCTGCTGAACTACAAGTTATGATGGGTGGAGCTGGTCAGGGAGTGAGGGCAAAGAAACCTTGCATCACTGGCAGTGTCTGCTACATGCACTGATTAACCTGGCAGGACCCGGCTGGAGAAGGGTGTTCTGAGGGGCTTCTAGGGGTCTGGTTTAGTAGGCAGAAACAAATGCCATGGTTTTGCCTGCTCAGAGGCCTGGCGCCCCTGGGGGAGGTTTAATTGTCTCTTTGCAATCCTGCCAGTCCCATAGATTTATGCAGGAAACCCAACCCCTGAGCCAAAGTCAATGCTAAGCTTGGCCAAGCCCAGCCCAGCCCAAGTTCGAAGGTTCATGAGTTCCCAAGAAAGGGCCCTGGGAAGGAGAGGTGGTGGGACATCCCCACAAGGGGAGAGTCTGGCACTGAGCTGCCGTGGGCTGGCGGTGTGGGTCGGGGTGGGGATTACGGTGGGTGTCACCACCAGATGGCACCTACCTGATGACCAGGGACACTGGGATGCCTCGGGCCTAGCCAAGAGCACAGCCACCTTCCTTCTGGAGGCCAGCCTTCCCTGCCCCACCCTGGCCTGAGGCACCTGTCACCTTACTCTGGCTGCCAGGCTTACCTCCATGCCAATGCAACCTCTCCAGACCCCACGCAGGGGCCTTCAGGCCAGTTCAATCCCGCATGGTGTCCAGGGCCCTGTTGCTCTAAGCAACCTTCTATGTAGCCTTTGTATATGGCAGCACTGTTCTACCTCCTTAAGTGAATAACCTAACCCTCCCCTTTTACAGCTGAGTTACTGAGGCAGAGAGCAGTTCAGCAACGTGCCCAGGATTACAGACACCCCTCCAACAAAGGGCACTCTCTGGGTCCGGCGGCCTCCACGCTTCCTCTTCAGGGATTCTGTTCTGTTGGACTTTGCTTAGTTCTGTCTGGACAGTGCTGGGCACACCCTGTTTTCTAGAATAGCTATTGTGTCTGGGCCCTCACCAGGCTTGGAGCGTTTTGTATCTCTACCTCCGGGGTAGGTTAGGACCTGAGTCTTGGGAGTTGAGCTCAGCTTCATCAGAGTCAGCACAGAGGAGAGGGGGCTGGGCCCTGCCCAGGGTAGGTCATGCTTGGCCTCATGAGGAATCTCAGTATCACTGAGGCTGGATTGTGAGTGGCTCTAGGGTGCTGGTCCGTGGGCAGGGCACGGGGAGTCAGGGAGAATGGAGGATGCAAGAGGCAGCAAAAGGGTGAGAAGGCTGAGAAAGGGGGTGATGGCTAAGAAAATGCTGGGCCTGTTGTCCTGGGCTGAGCCCTGGAGGGATTATTTTCTATGCATGTACCCAGGAAGGCCTCAGTGGTACCCCCTTGAGAGTCACTAGGCCCACAGAGGGCCGTCTGGGGACAGGAGCTACCTCCTCAACAGGAAAGGCCAAATGGGAAAGTGGAGGTGGGAGGGCAGCGTGGGGTAGGGGCCTTTGCTGTGTCTGTCGTTTTAAAGATCTCTGGGCACACGCAAAGATACTCACATGCACGCTTGCTTGGACGTGAAAAAGCCCTGCACACAAGCAAACAGAGAGGGGAGACCCACGTGCCACACAGACAGGCACACACAGAGGCACACAGGCACAGCACACCAGCCAGACATGTGTGAGCACATCCAGGCTTAAACAGACACACACCCCAACACAGAAGGACGCTCGAGTCAGACCCAGTGACAGATCCCGGAGGCACAGAGGCAGCCCTGAGAGACACGGGCACGAACGCACACACAGCCCCACACATGGGCAGGCCCACGGCCCACAGAGGACCTGCCTTCCTCTGGATCCCAGGCTGGCTTCCTGGTGACAGAAATCTGGCATCTGACATGCACCATGTGCCAGCAATGACCTCATCAGGATCACGAGGGTGGCCTGCCCTTGGGGCCTGGGAGGTGTTGCAGTGGGGCCTAGAATCTGGGGTCTGGGCCGCCATGATCTGCTTTGGGGGCCTGCCTTCTAGGCATGTCTACAGCCTGGTCCTGGCAGGGTCTGGCCAACCCTGCACCCAGGCCTCAGTTTTAGGGGCTCCAGGAGACAGGGGACTCGCTTTCTTGAGAGCTAGGGGTGTGGCAAAGTCAATTTATGGGGTGATACACACTCACTGGGCACCAGGACCAAGAGGGAGAGCCTGGGGTGGGGGGTTCCATAACTGTCCACTCCAGAGAGGTGGGGGAGCTGGGGATTATGCCCCCTGCTCCTGAGCAAGCATGCTACATAACTGTACACTCAGCTCAGGGAGGAAGCCTGGGAGGGAGACCCAGAGCAGACCCAGCCACCACACTGCCTCCAGCCCACCCCCTCTCAGTGAGCCTCAGAGCCCCTACCACCCCGCTGCTCCCCAAGGGCAGTCTGTTTTGGCACCTCCCAACTTCCAGCCTCTCTGCTTCTTCAAATCCTGATCCTCCTCCAAAGTTTGGCTCAAGTAGAGCCTTTTGAAGTTAGCACTCTGCAATTCCTCCCATTCTGGACACAGAGGGTGGGAGATGGAGAGGAGAAGATGCTGTCATCTGACCTGATGGCCTCCAGGGCACCACCCTCCACCAGCGAAGGGAGCTCCCCTGAGGAGGAGTAGCTAGGCCCCCAAGTAATCAGCTTCTGAATGTGACCTTGACCTGATGGTCTGGATAACAGCGTGACTCATCTAGTTTGCAGAGGGAGGGTTGGGGTGGGGAGGTGAGTGTTGAGAAGAAGGAACTGGGCCTCAGTTTCTCCCCTGTGGAGAGTGTTCCAGACCTGTCCTGACTTGCCTGGTGCCCCTTTTCCCTCCAGACTGCCAAGATGGCTTTGAGCCCCCACGTGGTCCCAAGTGCTTACTCACTGTCCCGAGCACCCCACTCACCATCTGAGACGCTAACAGAGCACACTGGCCTAACCCTGGGAGCTGGCGCTCCGGGCCAGTTCTCCCCATCTCAGCTCAACTAAGCGAGAGACTGAGAAACCCGCCCAGGAGGTTCCCATCAGTGAGCTACCCTTTGGGCTGGGCTGCGGGTTCCTAAACCTGTCTGCATTGTCACAGGCACCCACCATTAAGGACCCTGGGCCTCCCCCTCTGGGCGGACAAGCTGCCATGGACATCATGGAGAAGAAGGTAGGGACACCCAAAGACAGAGCTGACTCCACTTTTTCAGAACCCCAAATCAGTAAGTTCTCTTCAACTAACTGTGGGGGCTCACCATGCCTGCAGTGGGGTGATGGAAATATGGAGGCCTGTTAGCCCCTTGCTTCTTCCACCTGGCCCCCAACTTCTCCATGCATCCTTTCCTCACCACCCAGCAGTTCCTGGGTGCTTTCTTTATATAGCAATGTGGAATAAACATGGTTGTGGGATCACATTGTGAGGAAAAGGGGGTCTTCTTAGGGGCCTGCAGTGTTTCTCTCCCTGCTGGGAACCTCACCTGCTGTCTCGTTCTCCAGCTGGGCCTCCTCCAGACACTGCGTGCGCTGCTCCTCAATCATCTTCAGATACATACACTCTTCCCGCTGCAGCCCAATTGCCTGGCTGCCCTAGGGGACAGAGAGGGGGATGGGGCATCAGGCTGTGCAGGCCCCCGCCTGCCCATGTCCATGGACTCCATGAGCAGCCACCTGGTTGACCCAAATTCCAGAATGAACCCCAACCCTGGAATGAGTCCCGATCCTAGTCCTAGACTGCAGCCTGACCCCTACTTGGATCTGATCCCAAGCTCTTACCTACTGTCGCCAAGCCTCAGTCAGCCTTGAGGACCGAGTGATGGCTTCTGTGGCTCCCCAACAGTGTTGGGGCTATAACAACTTTGTCTCTTTGTGCATGGCATCAATCTGATGAAGGTGTGAGGGGCCCTCCTCAGAGCCCAGAATGGCTACCTGGACTCTGGCACTCTCCAACTTGGGCAGGGGTCTTTTATTGTGGCCTCAGTCTCCATGGATGAGCAGAGCCCAGCTAGTCTGTCTCATCATGGGGTTTGGGGGTCAACTGGGAAGAATCCTGGAGTCTGGATGAGCCTTTCAGATTCTGTCCCCAATCCAGGAGCCTGTATTCAGTCCCCTGGGTCACAGGCCTGGCCCTCCTGGTCCAGGTCTTACCCATCTCCTTCTTCGGTTTAAATAACTCACCTATACAGATCTAATGAAGGAAGGGAGTTTTAAGGGGATAAGAGAACCCATCTTGGATAATCTACCATCCCAGCAGGTCTCCTATGCCTTTAGAAGGTAGGGAGAAGGGGTGAGATGGTTCAAGCTTCTCCCTTCTCGTATATTGTGCCCTGGCCAGCGATCAAGCAAGCCAGATCTGTGCACTGAGGTACTGAAGCAGACATGCGAATAGAAAGGTTGCACAGGAAAGGCCAGCAAAAGTCAGGACTTAGGAGGTCTTAGGTAAGAAGGGCAGGGTCCCTCCATGGGGGACCCTGGATGATGGCAGCTTCTGCCCATCTGGCTTTAGAGAAGTGGCTGCCACCCCTGGCCACCCCACACTGGTTTCCTTGTCTCTTGCCTAAGGAAGAGAGAGGCACGACCTCAACAGGGCTATGGGTGAGTGTCCAGAAAACTGCTCCAGAAAGAGATTCTCAATGTCGCCTCAACTTGTCCCTCCCATCCTGGGATCAAGACCTCATCTCCCTGGACTTCCATTTCCCTGATGGATAAATGAGCCTCAGCCTCCTCCCCTAACTATCTTGAGAACTTGCAGTAGGCCTGTGAGGAGAATATACTTGGTTGGTTTCCCCTCATTTCCTTCAGTAGTGTCTATGGATACCAGGCGTGTCTTTGACCATTGTTCTGACTTGACCCGATTGGGGGGTGAGTCCCAGGTGCCAGAGAGCACTCCATTGCTGCAGGGGGGCAGGAGGTAGGATGTCCAAGCTGAAGCTGGTCGACTAGTGCCCTGGAGCCCACACAACAGAGTCCCTTCCACCTTGACAGCTCCTCATCCTTGTTGAGGATTTTGGACCAGACTTGTTGCCACGGGTCCTCAGAGTCCAACGTCCCCACTTGTAGCTAAGCACCGCGGCTGCCTATCCCAGGTCCAGGGAAGGGCTCCTCCCTGCCCACGGCGTCTTTCAGGCTACATTCCCAGCCTCCAGGCTGCATTTGCCTATGTGCCGTGCGCTTGAAAGCCACATAGTTAACATGATTTCCATCCATCCTGGACTGTTAACTTTACCAGTCAATTGGGATAAAGACACTAACTGGTAAGTCCTTTAAAGCTTGGCATATAAAGTAACTTGGCTAGTCAATGACTGTCTCAAGGAAAAGATGTGGGGCTCAAAGGACCCTCTTTGGGGCCACACACTTCTCCTTTTGCTCATAAATGTTACTCAGACAGAAATGGGGCTCCAGGTGGCTTCTGGGAGAAACCTGGGAAATGGCCACTTTGGCTAGTGTCCTCAAGAGATTGATCTAGCTGGGGTGTTTGCACCATGCTTCCTGCAAAGCACCTTCCTATCCCCTTTCTCCCCCAGCAGCAGGATTCATGCTGCTCTGGCCCCTTCCCAGTCTCTCCCATTCTCCCCCCAACCCCAGCATGATAGCAAGATTAACAGTGCAGGCATCTGTTGCCACTTCCTTCCCCACCCTTAACCCTCTTCTCGTGCCATGTCCTCATCTCTATCTGGAAAACCAACTGCTTCCTCAGTTCAAGTTCAGGGGTTCGAATGAGCCCTCTTGCAGGGGTCAACAGGTCACATGAGCTGGCTAGAACCTTCAGGCCACAATACCTGGCGTGCAGCCCACCACTCAACTTGGAGCCAGAAGGTTCACTTCTGTGACAAGTCCACTAGGCAGGTGCATTTATTCTTTCCTGCTGGGCCAGCAAGCTTAGAGGCACAGGGCTAAGGTTCCTCCTGCCATCTTGCCACCAAGTGAAACCCAATGAGGAAAGTCATGCAGCCATAGACAGAACAGAGAAAGGCAGGAGGGCTGGGTCCTCTCAGCTTTGTCTGAGCCTCTCAAGGCAGCCACAGGTGACACCAGCCCTGCTCCCAGCAGCATCACAATCTTTCTTTATGGTTTGAACTATTTGAATTTTCTGTCCCCGTAATCAAGAGTCCAGATGTGCACTCTGAGGCCTGGATAATGGGTGGCCTTACTTACTGGGCCCTACTAAGCCAGGGAGGGGTATGGCCATGCTGTTGCCAAGAGACATTTCCAATCACAGAGGGCATCATAGGGCTCCCGGCAGCTACTGCTTCCACTCGCTGAGGGTACTGAACCAACCTCTTCAAGCAGCTCTGTTCTCCCAGCAGCGCAGCCACAGAAACTTTGCTCAGAGGCAGCTTGCAAAAGAGAGGCAGGAGTCCCCAGGGTAACCTGCACATCTGGGGTGTCTCTGAATAAAGATGAGCTCTCTTTTCACCACAACTTGATTGAATGTTAGACCCTAACTGGAAAAGGGTAGAGGAAACAGAGACCCAAAGAGGAAGCTGAGGTCACCCAGCAAATGCACATTCCCAGACCTAATCTTCTGACCACTGGTCTGGGCTGCATCAGTCTCTCTCCATGGCCTCACTTTGGCCATCTGGTCAACCATTGCCCTTTGGGAGCCAGGGCCAGGGCAGCCCTCTCTAACCCTTATCACTGAGGAATTCAGGCAGACTTTGGACTTCCTCTTCCACTTATTTCCGTATTCTAAACATCCTCATTATCCCCCTGGACTCCAAACGCACAAAGTTGGAAAATTCCCAGCTGGATAAAGCCAAGCCTACTGATCTCAAGAAAGGTTCCCAGGTAGAATTTGGGGTGTGGGCTTCAGAGAGAACGGGTAGTAGAGGTGCATCTTTGAACATGCTTAAGAGTTTGATGGTCAGGGTAGAGCAGAGTATTCCAGAAAGTAGGAAAAGTGTTTCTGCAGAAGTATGGAACATGAAAATGCCCAATAAATTTAAGGTTGCAAGAAGTCTGGTGGATAGCAAGGGGCCTGGAGGTTTCAGGAGACAATTTGGGAGATGTGGGAAGGAGCCAGGCCTCATCGATGCCCTCCCACCCTGGGTAGATGCAGTGGCCCCTGCAACCAAGGGAGTCTTTGAACAAAGTGTATCGCCAACCTCATCTCCTGCTTCAAATCTCTGATGTGTCTCATGACTTTGGGGTCAAAGCCCACTCTTCCAAATTGGCATTCAAGGTCCTTCCCAATTCTACCAACTTGACTCCTGACTCGCTCTGTGGAGAAGAGAAAACTGGTGTTTCTCTCAAACCCTCACAAAGTCACTTGGCTCCAAGAGAGCTTGAAGTCAGCCTGACCTTGCCGTTGGGTTGAGGCAAGAGTTTCAGAATTGTCTAGACCCCCAATACCTTATCTGTGACAGAAGGGAACCTAGCAAGGGTGAGAAAGGCCAAAGTATGTCTTCACTTCTGGCCCTCTTGTGAACCTGCCACGGTGTTAGCTGGCTGTGTAGGTGACTGCCAGGGACTTGACGTGAAATCCTGAGTCTCTGGTCGGGGCAGGGATTAAGCAAGTCTTGTTAATTCCACCTGCTCTGATGGGTCCCCTCCTCTCTTTCCCTGTTGTGTGGGGCTTGGAAGAAAGCCCTGCTTTCTTCTTTCCACATAGGGCCCCCTAAGGTCTGGGGCAAAGGCTGGGTTTGTGTGTGGGTGAGAGTGAAGACGCTGGAGCACTGTTAGAGGGTGGGTGTTCTGAAGTGAGAGGAGGCAGGTGTTGGGAGGGTCCCTCAACTCCCTCAAGGGAAGCTTGAGACCACAGCTACTGGCCTGGAATCAGAACCCCCAGTTCTAACTGGAGCCTGAGAACTGAGGCAGGAGGGGCTGAGGGAGACAGAGCAGTGGGTGGGGACAACTGAGTAATTTCGAGGGGAAGCTGTCTCTGAGAGGCAACAGGCCACAGAGGAGGCAGGAGGAAGACTCCCTGCTTGTAAGTTTACAAGCACTGGGAGCCAGGGTGGATGAGTTGCGCTCCTAAGATCTGTCAAAGGAGGGTTCTTTTCCCTGGCTGGTGCTGCTGGAGGAGGCAGGGAAGTGGGGAGTAGAGGGCAGGAGCCATCGCCATGTAAGATCACCACCTTGTAGCCCATGATTTACACAAGTGTTCTTCCCTATCGACACAGCAGAGCAGGAACGAGACACAGGGGAAACTGAGGACCTGGAGGGTGAGGGCGGGCCACAACCCACTGCCAGCGGCCCCTTCACTTTGGCTTTGAGTGTGAATCAGTAAGGAAATGGAGATCTTGAAACTAGGGAGCAAAGGGAAGGTGAGAGGACGAAGAGGAGAAGAGGGCAGGAGGGAGAGTGCCATGGGAAGTGGGTCACGCCATCCAGAGTCACAGACCAAAGGAGGCAGATCTCGCAGCTTTGCAGAGGGCACTGACGGAAGCTGAAATAAGGCCTCACCTTACTGAGGAGGGACACGAGGGAGCCTGCTGGGTGACGCGTGTAGCAGCTTTATCAGGGCAGTGGCTGCACAGTGCACAGTGTCACATCGGATTGTGCCTTTTACTAATTAAAGACATCCCTGTAGCCCAGGGCAGCATGAGGCACCACAGAGCCCCTTTGGAGGAAGCCATTGTTCTTAGTGA